TTAATCCATTGACTTTAATTTGTTTCTGTTCAAGTTGTTCAAAAGATTTTTTGGTTTCATCTATCACAATATCACCTTTACATCTTTTTCCATTAATATCTTCAATTTTCCAGATAATCATATTATTTTCTGAAGTAAACAAAACAGACCCTAATAAATTTTGACGTGCTACATTCTTTCATCTGTCAAAAACTAACATAACACCAAGATCATCATTAATAGCATCATTAAGAATAGTTTCTGAAATTTTGTTAGTAGTTCTTTCAAGAATTCGATCACTAAGCTGTTTTTGACTTGGCAAACATAATATTGGGTTAATCCATTTAAAAAGTTCTTTAATTGCTGAATTTTCAATCCAACAAAAAGAAATCCACATGCAACAGTAACATTTAACAATAATTGTTCAAATATTTTTATTTATTCAGGTTTTAATTCACGATATACATAATTATCAAGCGGAATAAAACTTTGAGATGATATATTAGATATATCAGTTACACTACTTCTATGTGATGTAATAGATGGTGTTGTATAAAAAAAGTTGTTTAAATTTCGTGACGGAGGTAATTGTGATAGTGGAGTATGAAAAGTTAATTGAAATGCATTCCTTTCACCTTTTTCGTCCCCTTCATCCCCTTTCCCTTCATCCCCTTCTTATTCAATTACTAATCGATGATGTTTGTTTCGTTTTTTTGATCCATAATCCATTGCATTTTGAATTATAGCACTAGTTTGTTCTGAGGTATGTCTTTCGACCCAATAAGAACAACTTTTAAGACGATTTGCACATGCACACTTGGTATTTATAAATTTATGTTTTGAAGCTTCTTCTGAACCTAAAACCCGAATACAATCCTGACAAATAGCATAGTTGTTCTATTTATTGGATTTTTCTTCCAATATCAAAAAATAACCACTAAGTTTATATTTTTCCCGTGTCATTTCTATATTTATTATTAAAAAAAAACAAAAAAAGAGGTACTGAAGTACCTTATTGCCAATATGACTATTATGAAAATACCCAAATTTTAAAATGCACAAATTCTAAAGTAAAATAAAACTATTGCATTGCGGAATTGTAAAAATTTAAAAATTTGCAAAAGATTTTTTTATTTGATTATCATGTATTACATTGAATTTTATTGGACAATTAATTGGACTAAGTCCAATTGCATGTCCAATTATCCAATTGGACGATTGGACATAGTCCAAATCCAACAAAAATCTATTTGGACGATTTGGACAATTATACGCTATTGATCTATGTCCAATTATCCAATTGTCCAAATCGTCTAATTCAGTCAATTGGAATGAGTCCAATGCTAACACTGAATATAACTAATTAATAAATTTTTTGATAAAAGTAAAGCACTATTATCTCTGTTATAAAATATAGCTTATTATACAATGAATAGCATAAGAAACGATATTATTAATTTTTTTTGTGCTTTTTGGTGGTCTTGAAATTACTGGTTTAGGGCAAAGGCAATCTTGTTTTTCTCTGACTTGAATGTGCTTTCATACTTCATCAAATAGATACCATTGCTGAGCTGCATTTAAACCAGAAAGTGGAGTAATTGCTGAATTTGGTTTGGCACCTTTTTTCAGATCTTTTCTTCAAATTTCAATCAAATTTGTTTCTTTATTAATAGAACTGCTTATCTCTACTTTTCCTTTATCTTCGTTATCAAAAATAAAGTAGTACTGTTTTAAAATATTTGGAACAATTTTGAAATATTCTTTTAACCATTTACTTCAATTATAGAAATATACAACCTGCTCTCCGTTTTTGTCAAAGATCGTTTGCATTACATTATATCCATTTATTGTTGAATTTTCTACTACTTTAATTAGGTCATCTAAATTATCAACCTCTGACTTAGCGAGTGCCAATTTAAATAACCCAAAAAAAGAATCTGGGCTAAATTTTATGTGCCTAGCAATCATAAATGAATATGTAATTCTATCATGATAACTTATTATTACACGTTATGTTAAATAAGCTATTATTAAATTATTCTTGTTTTGCCTGAAACAATTATCAGTATGGATAATTAAATGTTTTTCTCCCAGTTCATGCAAAAGAAAATAATTGTGCACTAGTAAAATAACCACATCTGCTCCTTTTCCAGGCATTTTACTTTCTTTAATAAGATAATTTACCTAAAAATAATCAATAGTTAAAAGATTTTCAAATATGAATTAATAAATAACTTACTTGACAAGGAAATGCATCATCACATATCCCAAAAATATGAACTTTGTAAAGAGACTTAAAAAATGTATCTCCCTAATAAAATGTTGATTTTATAATTAGTTTTTTAATAAAATCCAAAAAAAAAATTAAAACAATTTATCTCTTATTGTGATGAAGAAGGTAATTAAACTTGTTGAGCAAAGTCCCAAGATAGATGTACTTCAACATCTAAAGAATTAATTTTTTCTGAATGAATTATATTTTCTTTACCAAGTCTTTCAATAGTAAACTTGGCTCTTTCTATACATTTTCTAAATTTATCAGTTAAAAGCATTAATTAAAAATTAATTATATATTTTAAGATGTATAATAAACTTACTTGTAATATTTACGTTCATCATATGCAGCTTTAATATATGTATTCTATTCAATTACTTTTTGATCTTGCTTCTCTACAGTCCAATTATCAGCATTAAATCGCATAGTTTTACATAAATAACATAGGTCACTTCGTGGAGTTAAAAACTTTATTTCAGGTGAATAGTTTTTCCAAACTTGACAAAAAATACTTAAACAGATAGTTAAATTTTCAATGCTTTCACATTGTTGAATTGCTATTAAATACTTTTGATGTAAAGATGAATAGCTTTCAATAGCAGGTAAAAAAATAACTTTCATTGTTTCACGTCTAAAATGTCATCTTAAGGTAAAAATCAAATATGTAAAAATGTAAATAAAATATAATATAATGTTAAATTATATACCTGGTGATAGAAGATCCCATCTATTAGCGTAATTTAATATAAAACTAACAATTTTTATAATTGTTAAAAATAAGATCATTCTATTGTTAGGCTTTCCAATAGCTTTATGAACCCTAGCTTTGATATCTTCAACAAAGAAATGGGTTTGTATATTTTCCTATTTTGTAGTTCTGATCCTATAAACAAATTTAAAAGCTTTCAAACAGATTTCTTTTGCGTCAAAAGAATAATCACAAACTGCCTTAACACTTTATTACCTTTTACTGTTACATGTTGTGATCCTGAACTACTGACAAGATAATCCATTAAAAAAGAATCTTGATTACTTTTTGATAAACTTTGAAAATTTAAATTTCTCAAAAAAGCACTTTCAGTATTAATTTTATCTTTTAGACAATTATTTTGACAACATGATATTTCAATTATATTTTTTTTAAAACATTC